CCCCTGACCTGAACCCACTCAATTACCTAGTTCGGGCGGAGTTCAATAGGGTGGTCTACGGTGGCGGAGAAATCGACTACCCCGCTGATCTCAGGTACCACATCGCGGTCGCGTGCCAGAATCTCTCGATGGCGTTCGTCCAGAAGGCTGTGGCGGAGTGTCGTGATAGTACTTAATATGCTCTTCAATATGGTAGTAAAAATGTCCGATCAGAATTTGATAAAGTGTAACTTATAGCGCCTCGAAAGTCAATGAAGCAAAGTGACTTTTTTTGCCCCCCCCCCCCTGTAGATTCCGAGAGGCCATCAGGTTGTCTCGGAAGAAATGTCTCCAAAGCGCGTCGTACACGAACAGATTCTCATCAGGGGGTCGTATTAGGTCACCAGAGAGAGGGGTTGTGTTTGGTATGAGGAAATTTCTTTTGATAGTTGGACTTTCCTTTTTCATGCGCGCAACCCACATCGTTAGTAGGCCCTATTGGGAGGGGGGAGGGGAGTAATTGACTTCGAAAAAATTTCGCGCGAGAAAATTTGTTAATTGAGCTCTGAACTTCCTGAACTTCAACTGAACCAGAGAAGAATCGGGAGGCAGGGGCACGAAGTTAGGAAAAATCAGGAAGAAAGTAGCTGAAATGGGGGAGGGGTCGCGGCAGAGCAGGGAACTAGGGAGTGCTGCCTTATTTTACAAAAAACAGTGACAGGGTATGCTTTGATTGTCACGCTGAGCACAATTCGAGCCGTACCGCCCACTGCAAATCATCTCCAACCAATGAGAGTGCTGCTTGCAGTGCGCTCAGCTCTTTTCTCATTGGTATTCTGCCGAAAGGCAATTCACGCCAGCTTAGAGTGCACCCCATTAGTAGTTCCCGAGGAATGTCAAAAAGGAGCGAGGGTGCTCACTTACGATACGATCACAGTGAAATTCCCAGCTCTGACCCCTTCCTGTGCAGGTTAGACCCTGCTTTACCCTAGTCTTCCTCTGAACGCCTTGGAGACACTTTTCGCAGTTAACGTCTTGTCCGCTGCGGATGCTGGGATGTGTCAAGGGCTGGTTTTCGCTCCGCGTCAATCCGTTCTCCACCAAGTGTTGCCGCTGCTTCACTTAAAGACACATGGTACGCTCAAACACATTGAGGGTGTATGAGACTATCAGCCCCCCAGCTGTCGATGTGTCGTGGTCCCCCCGCCCAAACATGCCCAGGAATGGAGATACAGGACCGTGAAACACGCTAGTTCCTCCATGCTCCGCCTTACACCTTTTTGCGGCGCAGACTGCCTTTTTACGGCGCAGATTCCCGTCCTTCATAACATCCGTTGCAAGCGCGCGTGTCGCGTGCGGCTCCTTGGCACTTTGCCAAGTCCTTTAATTGCGCTCTCAAATACGAGTAAAACGCAATTTCCTGATGCGGATAACATTGGAGGTGCTACAAAATAAGAACAGAAGATGATGACGAGGGCCAGAACTCAAGAGCAACTCGGCTGCATCTGCAGTATCCATCAGAGGCCGCGCATTCCCACAAAACATGAGAATAAAAACAACCCAAGCGTCCCACTCGTTTGTTCTAAGTATTTCTATGGCTTTGGCGCCGGATTCGCGCCGGATCGTAGAAATTTACAGGCGATTTTAACTAATTTGCCTTTCCTTGATTTTTTCATTTTTGTTTTTTACATTTACATCGTTGTGCTTCATTTCTAGCCTGTGTCATCTTCATCTCCTTGTACATGGATTTTGAAGCATGAGCAACACCTAAAATTTTATTCGCATCAGGAAATTGCGTTTTGCTTGTATCAAACTAACGAGTATGCCGTTTTATTTTCATGTTTCGTGGAAATACGCGGCCTCCGAGGGATGTTGCAGAAGTGGCACAGTTGCTTTTAAGTTCTGACCCTCGTCATCATCTTCTGTTCTTATTTTGCAGCACCTCCAATGTTATCCGCATCAGGAAATTGCGTTTTACTTGTATTTGAAAGCGCAATTAAAGGACTTGGCAAAGTGCCAAGGAGCCGCACGCGACACGCGCGCTTACGACGGATGTTATGAAGGACGGTCTGCGCCGCAAAAAGGCATTGGGCGGAGCATGGACGAACTAGCGTGTTTCACGGTCCTGTATCTCCATTCCTGGGCATGTTTGGGCGGGGGGACCACGACACATCGACAGCTGGGGGCTGATAGTCTCATACACCCTCAATGTGTGTGAGCGTACTATGTGTCTTTAAGCTTAACTTGCTTCCCAAGCTTCACTGACCCCGAAACTCGCCCCTCCCCTACAACAACGAGCTAATGCTTCAAGCCTGACCAATCCTCCTGACGGTCAAAGTCGCCCATCGTAAGTTGGACGAGATGTATCGGTCTTACTCGTCAGTACACTTCCTCGCCTGATCTCCCGCAAACGCTCAAAATCATCTCCGAAACTGAGGATCTGGCGCAGTCGGCTTAGGAGGGGATACATTTCGCAGTTTCGCTACTTTCTTTCTTTCATTTTCATTTTCCCATTCCCATTGTCGTGTCAAGCCTGTCAACTCTGCCTCATCATATTCACTTGGAATGTGTCTTTAAGTCACAATTCTAACCATTTTCCGATTCAACCCAATGCAGTGAGTTTCGATCATATATAAGCTTTTCATATACATACAAGAAGAATGAAAATGCTTTATAAAGCCTCTGTACATATCAGAAAAAGACACAGAATCAACAATGCAATAACAGAACAGAAACGTCAACAACAATTACATCACTAGGAGGTATCGAACCCCATAAAGCTTTTGATAGCGGCTATCGGATCGCCATTCACTTCGATTAACTTCTTTTCGACCACACTCTGAGAAAAAGAATTTTAAAATCGGTTACTCAAGAAAAATCGCAAAACGAAAACACTCCTGCTCAAGAAGTAGAAAAAAGAAGAACAAAACGGAGCTGTTCGGCATGGGGGTGGGCAACTAGCACTTCACTAGTTCTTTTTGCTTGTTCACGTCAACTAGCAGGTAAACTCTTGTGAAGCTGTGGAAATGTTACAAGTGAGCCGCTTTCCTTGCAAGAATTCACGCGTCTTTACAAGATGGTCTATGAAAGCCTGAGTGAGTATCATTCGGTGCCCCTACCGAGCCGAACTGCACCAACAAAACGATTACCAAAGTAAAAAGTACCTTGGGTAATTCGAGCTCATGCATGATCATTTCCAAGTCGTCCTTTTTGATGTTGACTATTTTGCGTTGGGGCTTGAAAAGATAATATCCACTTATGATGTCAAATACTCAGCAGCAATTAGAGAAATGAGTACTGTTTGTGAAAACAAAAAACAAAATTGGAAAACGGATATTTACCTGCTGAGGGTTGGCAATAATTTTCCCCAAGGCATCCGACGACATTTTCAGGTCATCTTTCTCCTCTTCCACAACGTTCACCTAAAAGAATTGCTGAGAACACACCCTATCTCAATGGGGAGGGCGCGGCTACTCCATCTGGATATGGCGTAGGATTCTTATTTCGTGGGCTATTTCCACTTGAGACAACTGCCATCTTGTCTTTTATTGGATAAAGACATGATTGCATTTGTCCAAGAACAGTAATATCCCGCCGAAAGCGCGGCCGCCGCCACGTTCAAGTAAGTACGAAGCCACGCCCACCCCATTTCCGGGATAGAGATTGCCAGCGGCTCGCGTCTCCTTCAATAATCAAAGCTTAGGCTTAGTGGAGACCATGTCCTCCTTACAGGTTTATCCCTAGACCATTCTGCTCGTCTGCTCTCTAGCCCTAACCATAAGCTTTTTTGTGGAACGGACTCAGAGACGCGGTCGTGTGGTTTCTCACTCGCCCCCCCCCTCTCCCCTCCCAACTACGTTGGCGCTCAAAATGCAACCTGAAACTAAAATACAAATAGTAACCTTTTCAAGATCCGCAGCGCCCCAATTATGCTTGTCATTCTGCTTAACCTCTTCCTCCGCCATTCCATCGTCCTTGTCCGCCATGACTTTACCAACTAGGGAGACCTGATCAATGAGTGTTCCTGCTTTCTGAAACTTGCTCAAATCAAACATCTTCCTTAGTACTCCGACAAAACTTTGTAAAGCACCGATCATGTTCATGAAGAAAGAGCCAGTGTTCACAACAGATTACAGGTACGCGAGCGGCCGCGTTGCGACTATCACGCATCACAGGTATCAAATGAACATGGCAAGGTCACATTACCGCACACATCCAGATCCGGGACACGTACAGGACAATCGCAATTTGCCGCGCTGTCGCGCGCGACGCAGCTTGTCAATCAATAACAAATATCCCATGCTGAGTGAGATTACGATTACGCGCGTCCCGTTACAATAGAGTTACAATAGAATTCAAACGGCTGGGACGGACAACCCGTCTCTCCCGTGCGCGACGTCGCTGGACACGCCCAGCGCGGCACATCACGACTGTCCTGTCACATACCCCCATCTGTGGGACGCACTCCATTGGACCCGGGCACCTAATGGCGTTCCAATGCCAATCAAAGAGGTTGTATAATCACCGCGAAAATTTTGCATGGACTCCTGTTTAGTTCAGGAGGAGCTACTTGTAGGACATAGATTAAGAAGCTTTGCGCTTTGTCGTTTGCAGATTTGAAGTGCTCGTTGTGCGAGTTTGGGAGTACTGTAATTCTATTCTACGAGATATTGCACGAAAATGCCTTGCTTTATTAGAATTGCGCCATCAGAGTGTACGAAATGTTCCCACTTCTTATAATAACCCTCTTACAATGTGAAAAGGATGCTTTTCAGTGGCTCAAAAGTAGAAGAAACTCCAATTCATGCCAAAAACGAGCAGGACTCCCTCCCCTTGGTCTAGACGAACGGTCCAAGTGGAAAAAAGTATGAAAAAATTACACTGGGACGCAGCCCTTTTTAAATGACATGAACCGTTTTCAGAAGCACTTCCTATAAAATCTAAATGCTCAAAAACGTGAAGGAAATTTACAAAAATTAATCTTCCGGCTTCAAAGAGGCCACGAGAACAGTAAAGCTCGACATAGCGTATTTCCACTTCAAATAAGGAGCAGAATAATGCTTAATCTTTGCAAATACATTTAAAAAGCTACAGAAATTATGAAAACCCATTAAAAATCCACTGAACATCCTCGCAGCCCGAACACCGTTTCTGCGCCAATCAACCATCAATTGACCCTGGACCAGTTCCGGCGCCATTTGTGCGTCAAGTTTTGTTTGAAGTTATTTCGACACCAACTTTTCAACTTTGTTCCGTCACTGTTTTTCCTTAACTATCTCCCGAATCGCCCTAGTATTTTGTGGGGTTATCGCCAACATTGCAGTTCAATTGTACGTAGTCCATATTGCTTTTGACGTTTGCACTTTTTCTGCATGCCCCTAGCTAGTCGATGGAAATGCGCTTGCAACGAGCAAGTTTCCTCTTTGGATCGATCAAGAGAAATTTCTCTCGGGGCACGAATTTGCTGGAATTTTTAGTTTTTACCTTGGAGCGAATGTAGCTTGACGCAAATTGAACGCCGATGAGTCATCCTTCCATTAGCAACGCCACA